GTATTAGTATTAGTATTTAGTATTAGTATTAGTATTAGTATTAGTATTAGTATTATGTAAATATGTGTAGAAAAAAAATCCACATTTTTCTTTCTTATTTTGTGCTGCAGGATAAAGAAGAAAACTCTGTATTCTGACAAACAAACACTTTAAATTTATAGAAATGTTTTTAACCAATGAGCAGAGCTTATAAACAACAGGTTCTCTGATCCAATCAACATTCTTTTTACTGAGTCTGTTATAAGAAAATAAAAGAACTAGACCAGGGTATAAAAAAGTGCTTTTTAGTCAAAATAAATATTTGTTTTTAAAGCCAGTTTCCCCCCATTTAATAACCCTTTAAAGCCTTTGAGTCAAATAGGATTTCAGTTCTTTGCAGATTGCCGTGTTTTGTTCTGTTTGATATTCTACACTGACCAAGAATCCCTTTAAAATAAGTTTTGTYAAAGGACCTTTTGTCAGGTGAAGCTAAACCTGATGAATGAACAAAGGTATAATAATGATAAACACCAAGACACAGTGGGCTGCATCTTTTAAAGTCAAAGAAAAGCCCAGGTGCATGTTTCTAATGCCTGTGATCAGCTCCTAATTGTGGGTAAAAGATGTTTGTGGGTCTGAATGTGAGGAGCAGTTGTTTTTCAGATAAACAAGTCTTTGTAAACTCGTCAGAAATAAACTAGCTCCTCTGTTCTCCGATCACAAACACACATCTGTCCGACTCCATCAGATCTGATGGGGGTCTGTAATTAACCTGAGGAGGCGCGGCCCTGAAGGCACCACATAAAAAACCCCAAACTGGACTCCTGCTGACCACCAGAAGAAACAGCCGGGACAACGAAATCCACMATGAAACTGTAAGACTTTCTCTCTTTTTTATTTAGAAAAGTTCCAACGTTTCTCTAAATTTGGACAAACTCTTCTTTGTTTCAGCTTCATGTTTTCTCTGCTCCTGCTTCCGTTTGTCGCTGTGGTGGAAACAGGCACAATAAGAGGTAAACTTTAAACTTTCTTTAACTCTTTTACTTCTAAAACAACAACTAAAGAAGTGATTTATTAAATCTGGTAGTTTCTTTTTCTTTTCTTTCTTTCTTTTGTTTTCAAGGTGAAAGAGAGAACGTGTTGAGTTTTCTACAGGGTAAGATTCTAATTTTTGCAAATAAAATTTCTGCTTAAAATGATCGCTGACGTTCATTTCTGTTCTTACAGAAGCTCTGAGCGAAGCTATTGAAAAGACTGAACCTGCGGAGATCTCAGGTCTGTGATTCAATAAACTCTCAGAGAAATACAAGTTTGAAGCTAAAACTTTTCTTTTCCTTTTCTCAACTCATCCTCAAACTAGTTTTGATTCCCTAATAATCAAACCTTGAAATAACAAACGAGAACAGAAAAGGAGAAACAGTCTTTATTTTTTTTTACTTTGACTTTCAATTTTATTAAAAAAGGGTTTTTAATGATGCTCACTGATTTCTCACTTTATGTTTTCTGCCCACAGAACACAGAAACTCTTCAAGCAGACCCATTAAAGTCCAAGATTCAGAAGGTGCAGTTTTTTAGTTAAATAAATGATAAAGATATTTAATCACTGCTTCTAAACTGACTCGTTCTCCAAAAAACTCACTCATTTGCAGATGTGTCTGATTCAAAATCAACAGAGAGCGTGGAAAATGACAAATACCAAGGTATCTTTTCTGAAATATATACAAATATTATTTTATTTTATTTATTTAGGTAAAAACCTTAAAAAAAGAGTCTTAAAATTTCAGATCCAACATTGGAACAGAGCGGAGAGGAAAGCAAAGTTTCAGTATCATCCAGCTTTAATATGTTGTTAGTTTARTCTTGTAAAGTGGGGTTCTATGACAACATCATGAAAAACTAATATCTTACCTGTTGACCATAGCTCTAATAATGACCTCCTTTTGGGAAAACATTACAACTTTATTTATAAAACATGTTAAAAACCACACAAAGTGCTGTAAACTGATAAAAACACATAAAAGCAAACATGAAAACAATAAACTATGTAAAATAAGCCAATAAT